GCAAGTACATACCACTAAGTCACACTGAAGAGTGACAGAAGCTTTACCTAGTAAGTAGCCCTATCTTCAAAACACAACAATTCCCCTAAAAAAGACAGCCATGTATATATACTTAATATGGACTCTGAAGACTTCAAATTCCTTTTCAAGACCCCTTCTTTAAAACCTCTCTCCCTTTTCCTCCAACCCCCCCACCCATTTTGCTTTAACACACACCGACTATTAATTGAAACAAGTAGTCTGTACAGATAAGTTAAAAGGAAAGTATCTTTAAATAGCAAAACCTCCTACCAAAGAATCGTGCAATCTTGCAGTCACAAGAGAACTAAGCCTGCCAAAATAACTGAACGGGAATATTTTGAAGTGCTGAGCTCAGCCTGCAAAAAAGTCTCCAAAGAGCAACAGTCCACTGCATTACAATGCTTCATCGCTGCTACAACCTCTCCTATGAATCCACAAGTAGCTGCACATTGTTTAACAAATCCAAACAGGCAAAGTCAAGAGACCATTTACCTCCCAATAAAATAACAATTCTTCCTACTACCAACCTAATCTGTAACCCAGATTAGTCTACATAACTTGCTGAAGGGTCATGGCTTACAATCAAGCAATGAAACACGAAGGGTATTGCCACAGATTTAACTAGTGCTTTAACTTCCTATCCAGCACCACTGTTACCTAGAAATGTATATGCCAGATGACTTAAATCCTGTTCCCTAAAGTTCAAAATGCCAGGAATTCCACATCTGCTCTTCTTGCACATAGGTTACATACCACAATGGTGCAGAACACTTGTTTCATTCACTGTTCAACTTAGCAGACCTGCTGATTTTTATTTTTTGTCCAGCCTATGCACCATTTAAGACATGAAATTTAAGTGACATGGAACTTAACAGACTATGAGCAAGGAAATTGCCCACCTCCCAGCTAAGGTGAAGACAAGAAATATTAGAAGTGATTATATTTGTTAATGTAAGAAACCAGTGAACACTTCCTCAGGAAGGTTCCCACTGAAATCAAGTTTTGTTCCTCTGCTACTGGTACCTGGGGCTCCCTTTATAAAAGCTGTCTAACTGCATGCGACTTACTTCACATTGAGAACAATCAGTCACTGCAATTATGTCCCAGTGAAGTGGTGGATTCCCCAACACTGGACACTTAAAATTCAGTGGACAGGGTACTGGGCCATCTTGGCTAGCCTCTGGCTTTTGCCAAGAAAGGCTGGACCAGATGATCCTTGAGGTCCCTTCCAACTTGGTATTCTATGATTCTATTTACATCTCATGCCACAGAAACACTTCTATACCTCTGATCCTAACTGCCAGCCTGTTATCCTATTAAAGTTTCCCAGGTTTTCACATTCTCATTAAAAAACACCTTCTCATTTTGAATGCAGACTGCTTGAAACACATGAGTCCTGAACTCAAAGCCGGTCTGATACTATGCTGCTGGACTTCCTGATCAGTAGGGTCAGCTGCGACACCATCTACTTCATCAGTGACAGTAATTACACCTGATGAATTTTACTAACAGTGGTTCACTGACACTGATTAACCCACCTGCTCACCATATCCGATTCTTTTTCAGGGTTTGCAACTTAACAACAGAGCATGCAGATCTACTACGAAGCATAGGATAGAGTAGTAAAAACTCTAAGGATTAAGTGTGAATAATATTCTTCGCAACTAACTTCCCTCTCCCATGGATACAAAAATGTATTTTTAGGTATTTCTAACCATGATTACTCTGCATTTTCTGTATTGTTCCCTGGTACTCCTATCAAGAATATTAAACAAGTCCCCAGTGCAGATACTAAGTTCTCAATTTTGCCACACTGTCTCCACCCCTAAATTTCACTGATGCTATTTCAAAATTAGCATCAGTTTTGAATGCTGATTTCAAAAATCAGCATTTTTTTTTTCAAATGAAAATCACTGTATTTTCTGTTATTTTCTCACGTGAAAACTCAATTTGCAGGAATTTTTAAGCAGTTGTAAAACTCATTTCTAAATAAACAGTAAAAGAACAAATTGGTACACTGATTAAACTCCTGCATGCATACGACAGCACATGACAAGACTTGCTAAAGAAGCCTACCCATGTTAATTTTTCCTAAAAGCTTGATCTATACTGTGGAAAGGTAATTAAGAATACTCTGACAATAAAGAGAGACTTCAGTAATTTTCAACCAAGAAAGAAGGACACCCACCCCCCAACTGCTATCACTGTTAGAATGACAAGCATGCTAACATTTAAAGAAGCCATCTTTATAACTACACCCATTACAATAAAGAAACAGACGTAAAGCGACTTAATTCATTACAAGCACAAAGTTCGGTTTGGGGTTTTTTTTCTTTTTAAGTGTTTGTTTTTTAATCTGTACTCAGTTTATGTCATCTGCCAGAAGTTTAGGAAGAAAAAAGAAAAAAATCAAACACCACACAACCTTAACAGCAACTGTATTTGCTCACTTAACTCACTCTAAGTTCCCAACTGGTCCATGGGAGAAAAATAAAATACCCTTTTCTAGCAGGTAACATTTTGTAGATGGATCTCATAATCCACAAGGGAATCATAAGCATCCATTCCTTCACACAGAAATGTATCAGAAGATCTATAGTAGGTTTTTTAATTACTCACTTTCTTCAATGTTTGTATTTACTTGTGAGATGACTGCCTGAAGAGCTGCAGTAGACAGTCCACTACTGTTGAAAACAGGCAAATGTTTGACCTCTGCTCCTCATCTATTTTCCTACAAAAATATTTTGTGATCTGATCTAAATTAGTGTCACCAGCTACACTCCATTCATTTCCCATTCTGGCTTAGAAATTACTTATTTAAAAGGAATGCCCTTGTCACCATTTCAGAACTTGGCATTCGCTTGCATAGAACTGAAGATGAAAACAGTGGAGACAGAAGCTAAAGATAAGGGCCTTCTGAAGGAGACATTCTCCCCCCAGCAGATTAATCAAATCACTGCATAAATATCTAAACTTTACTATTTCCACTTACATATTTAAGAATAATACTGGTAAAAGCAGCTTTAAAACCTGTTATTCCTCTATGATTCCTTATTAAAGCAAGAAGGGGACTACCTTCACTACTGAAAAGAAATAGTTTTTGTTGCCTCGTCCAGTGCTCACAGACAACAGTCTCTGTGTATGTAAACATTAGCTCTGCAATCTGCATAGTAATTTCCATCTACAGTCAACTCAATATTCTCAGCTTCTACTGAACTAAGAACTGCAAAACTATGTTCTACCACACAAATCCTTGTGTTCCCAAAAATACGCACATCTGTGAACTAACAGAACCATGTAGTCAAGGAAAACTTACAGAAGAGCAGTCATTTCTGAACCCTCTAGTGGAATGAGAGAGGATAGAAAGATCAGCCATAGCATGAGGGTAATGCACATGCCCATCACGTGGAATACTGCAACTTCATCCCAGCTTTTGTGACAAATAAACCATTTCAGATCTACCTTAAACTGGAGACTTCCCACCATGTTAGTTATACCATCTAAATACATTGAAACTAAACATTGCAATGTGTTAAATTCAGTTGTGTAGGCACCATGGAACAAAACCAAAGTGTCATGAAAGCTTATTAGCAGTTACAGAAGGGCTTGGGAGCAGTTCCATATGGATGAAATCATCAATTATGATTGTACCTGTGAATCAAGTTTCTAAATCTTTGAACTTTTTTGTTTGTTTTTAAAGACAAGAATGTACACAAATAAGTAAATAAATAAGCAGATCTCTTGCAGGCAGACAGAACAGTCCAGCTTCATAAGTCTGTCTGGCAGTGACAACTACATACATCCTTGTTTAAAACTGACCATGTAAAAGCACATTTTAAGAAGTGGCAGGGTGAAAGAGCCTAAAATAATAAATACTAAATATAAGTCAAAGAGAGGAAACCAAACTCACATTCTGCTCTGCCAGCAGGAGACTCATGGCTTTTCAGAAGATTCAGAGCAACTACAGAACCACAGCAAATGATCTTACGAGTGCGTCAGTACCAAGAGCGATCAGTAGCCAAAACCTCTGCGTACTAAACAAATTATGCACAATGCAATCTTTGCTTTATGGAGTTCATATTTCAAAGAAAATGGTGAATCGAAAAGGTAATATCAGACCTGTACTTCAAAATTAGGATATATGACCAGTGACTATATAGGTAGAGACACAAAAAGTAATCTTAAATTATTCCAAACATGTTTAAGAATATCTGCTCTTTGCTATTATGATAATATCAGTACTCCTCATCATTCACACCACTTATCTCTACACTAAGCACAGAATATCCTACAGTAGGTGAGCTCAATTGTTTTGTAGATACAACATAAAAGGTAAATTTAGCAACAATCAAAAAATCTAACCTATTTACACCTCAAAATCATGGAAAATATTACGTAACCACCCTGCAGTCTCATACATTACTGCATAATCACCGTCTTTCAGTTGCAGACAACTGTTTTCTTTCCTGGTCTGTAATACAGCTTTCTCATCCTTGAACGATTATTCCTAAATTTCACCCGTATTTATTACTGGGATGATTTCATAGGCCGTAACAAAAAGCACAGAGATAAGCACACACATCGAGTAAGCAATTCCAGAGCATTATGCTTATCTTTGTTTCAGCAAATTTCTTGTTTACCTAAGCTGATTTCCAGCAGAAAAATGAGGATTTTTATAGTGTGTTAGTTTAGTTGATGGGAGCCCTGAAAATACATTACTACTCTTACACAAATCATAGAATACTTTGGGTTCGAAGCGACCTTAAATATCATCCATATTTCAGTTACTTCTGCCTGCTCTTAAGCGTCACGAAGAGTTAGTTGTTAATGGTTTCACTCACTGAGGTTAATTTGCACAAGTAGATAAACCGATTCTGCTTCTTAGAACAAATAAAAGATGATCAAATTATTCAAAAGGAAAATGACAACAGAGTAAGAAGGGTTACAAAAATTTGACAGAATAAGTCTAAAACCAACACCTTTAGCCTTGATCCATGGGGCACAGGAGGACAACCATCTTGGCCAGGTGGAATGAGTAACTCCCACTTCCCATATTCCATCTTCTTATACGGATGAGAAAATGGATTCCAGCCATCTACAATACAAGAAAAAACACTAGGTGTACTTATCTTAAAATATGTCCAATTACAATTCAAAGCTATTAACACTGTCACATCTTTTTCAGAATAGATTTCAGTCATGACAGGCACAAATACTTTAACGGTATCTGATACCACCATACACACTCAGAAGAGTTTCAATAAAATGAGTAAGATTTTCACTAGGAAACCATTCTCCAATTTTAATTTCACAATGATTAAATTATTTCTACTTCACCTTTGTGAAGCAACCTGCTGTAGTGGAAGGTGTCCCTGCCCATGGCAGGGGAGTTGCAACTAGACGAGCCTTTAAGATCCCTTCCAATCCAAACTTTTCTATGATACTATATTTATTTCATTTCAGGGAATGTAAACTGCAAACAGCTAAACTGTCTGAAACAAATTCAGGGAAAAATGGGAAAACAGAAGAAAGATGAAAAAAGTAATGGACATCCTGAGTTGCAAGAAGACTACTTTAAGGAACTTGTTGGGGTTTATGATAGTCAAGCCCTCCTTATGTGAATTACTACCAGCTCTTTCAATCTTCTTCCTGTGAAGAAGCCGCCTTCAACTGAAGGCTGACTTCAAAGAGGAAGTGGCTCAGGCTTCTTTTGGTTTTACTGCTTGGTTTTCAGATTTTTGGCAAAATATAGCCAAAACTCCTCAGAAGAAGGAAAAAAACCAAACCAACAAGAAAACACAGTAACGAAAACCACAAACCCAACCAAAACAGAAAAAAAAAAATCTCCCCAACCAGCCAAAAACTGAATAACAGACTATTCATAAGTGAAAATTTAAAGATTAAAAAAAAAAATAAATCTCAAGTTTGAGAATAGGGACTTCCAAAACTCTGCCAACAGCTACAAACAGGAAAAGGCTGAGAAGATTACCATCAGCAGAAGTTCAAGTAATCAGCCTGAATAGGTTTTTGGGAACAAAGACACCATCACAGGGCAAAGGAGGGGAGAAGTACTCCTTGCATATTGACCAAATCATTTACATGTTCCAGTGTAAATGTAGCAACTACTTTTTCAAAAATGAAACACCTCCATAAGCAGGTTGAATTCTCAAATGCAAGAAACTCATCTCTTGGAGCAATTGTATTTCTACATTCCACATACTTCTGATCAACTGAAAGCTGCTCAGAAAATACAGTCCAGCAAGAATTAACATAGCTTCCTTGAGGAACAGATACCAGACAAACAGCAGTTCACACAGGAGGAAAGGCATCAAAATCCCACTACCCCACAAGACACCTTTGTATCATTTGGTTGGTACGTAAATGGAGAGATTCCCTAGGGACACTAACCATTCTGCGTAGTGGCCAATTATGTCTTCCTCCTTCTACACTGCCTGATGGCCAACAGCTCAACAGCAAGGTCATTAAAATAATCTGCTTAAAAAGTGGCTAACCAGCTCAAACACTGACATCAAAATAAATGTCATTACTTCTCATATTACTTCTCCCTGGACATTAACAGCAGCTTACATTTCAGCCTACTGCCTTCACTAGTCTGCAGTCACAGAAGTATAGTACTGTTTGACTTTACTCATGAAATCTGCATATTTCTCTGTACAAAGCTTTGAAGAAAGTAGCAAGAAGTTCAGTATCACATCCCACTAGTATCTAGACCCCATTTTAGTATAAGTTTGAGTCAAGTCTGGGGGAGGGAGAGTTCCTACTATGAAAAGTTTCCAGCCAGCTGTCAGATACCAAGATTATGAGGGCTGGTGGCATAAATCCCCTTTTCTTCACTGTGAAGAAAGCCTGTCAGAGCTTAAATAATAAATAAACCTCCTCCCAAAAATCAACCAGCCTACCATCCTTCCACCCTCAGATGAAGCCCTTCCCTCTAGTGCAAGAAACAGGAAGCAGAAACCAAACAGACATTCCAGAGCGATCAACATTTTAGATCTACTGTTAGCCAGGAAGGAGGGAAAGGAAGGCAGAGAAAAGAAAACTAGAGGGAATTAAAGGACAGAAACTGCAAATATGACAGTGTATTATATCAAATACTGACTTGAAAATTAGCATGCACATACTTACTCGTTCAAGTGTCTTAAAGCCAGTAATGTTTGGGGTTTGTTGGGGGGTTTTGTGTTTGTGTGTGTGTGTGTTTGGGGGTTTTCTTGGTTTAATTATCATATCGTTTACAGATAACCTACTGAGTCTCTGCATAGCCAAATACGATTTGGAGTATTCTAATTCCCAAACAAATTCTGTGAGTTACACTCCAGCAACTTATTTTGAAACAGTTGATTTTAAATTAGCCGTAAGTTGCCAGTAGACACCAATTTCCTCAGCAAGACAGCATGCAAATAAAATATTCAGTGTGTTATCACTGAGAGATTTTAAGGTAGCTACAGTGTTAATACTGCCTCTAGTAGCAGAAATTCAGCTGACTAATTGCCTCATACGCTTGATTTACTGAGGCGCTAAAAGTACTAATTGACAAATCTTAATGATTTTGGATGTTCGTTTAATACTTCTCAGATAGAGTAAAGCATCGTACCAGAATACCAACAGATACAATACCTTCTTCTCTTCAATTATGGAGTTTTAAATAAGATACAAAGAACTCTGAAAGTATTTGGATTTTCTTGAATTTATGTTTTTCATTCTCCAATACAAATACAGATTTGTACCAGATTCTACCTTTTTTCCAGAATGCAGTGATACTAAGAATTATTCTATAAATAGGAGCTATGCCATTCATTAGAAGTGTCTCAGAATGAGGTACAAAAATACTGGGAAATTGAATCTCCATATAAGAGAACTAAAATACAAAGCATGAATTGACTATTTTTACGTTACATACCATCATATTTCAGTTTAAAACCTAAAGAGCTGCTGTCACTAAAGTTCCATGTTTGATTCTTTGTTTAAAATTTCCAACTTCCCCTCACATGGTTCAATTACAGTTCTCCTTATGAAAAGTTTTATGGAAGAAATTCCTATCGAAAGAAATCCTGATATTCAATTTAAATACAATACAATCATAAATTTAGCTTCAGACTTTAACCTGCTTGAATACTTAAAGAAAGGTTAAAGGGATTCAGTTTTAATTAAACATATATGTAGCAACCTGAATATAAATCTTAGGAGTTTGCAACCGAATTTCTCGTCAGAGTATTACTAAAGCTCATCTGAATTGAATGACAATCTTCCATTCCTCTAGGCTTTCCACGTATTCTATCTTCCCCTTTAGGAATGAATACTTTGCTATGACTGATTAATATGATACAGGACAAACAGGTTTTCCGCATTAGAGAGAACTACTTTTTAGGTTTTTTTAACTTCTTACTGCCACATTTCATTAGCATCCAGATACAACCACTCTTACGTATTAGTCCTAAATTTCTACTTCGTACGATGTATTACATGAAATATTTGAAAGGAAAGAGTTTAGAAAATTATTCCAGTTTTTAGCTACTGTATTCTGGCTATATATATTTTACTCAGCACTTGTCAGGCCACACTTGAAACAATGTCTTCAGTTTTGGCCCCCACTCTCCCAAGAAAAGATGAGGACAGGCTGGAGTGGGTCAGGAGAAGGGCCATAAAGGAAGGACTGGGAAGCCTGCCATGTAAGGAAGGGGTTAGAGGACTGGGGTTGTTCAGCCTTGAGAAAAGAAGTCTTAAGGGAGACCTTATCACCATGTTCCAATATTTAAAGGGTGGCTACAAAGAAGACCAAGACTCCCTTTTTACAAGGAGCCATATGGAAATGACAAGGGGTAATGGGTACAAATTAATCCTGTGGAGATTCCAACTGGACACAAGAGGAAAATTTTTCACAGCAAGAACAATCAGCCCTTAGAAAAATCTCCCCAATGAAGCGGTGGTTTCCCCAACGTCGGACATTTATAATCTAGACCCTTTCATCCAGCCAAATCTTGCTTTGCCATGAAAGGTTCGACCAGATGATCCTTGAGGTCTATTCCAACCTGGGACTGGAAGGTGTTCTATGATTCTATGATACATGTACTTCGTCCACTAACCTGCTAAGTCAATTTGCAAGTTATTTTTAAAATACTAGACATTAATTTAAACTTTGTTTTTTAAATGGCCATCTATTAAAATGCATATTTAAATAAACGCATTCTAATTACTCAACACTGTTGAAGACTTACATTCATCACATAAACCCCCTGAGCAATGGGTGGGGTTGAAGCAAGTAGGTGAGGGGTAAGGACGAGAGTTTTCTGTGTAGTTTACACATATAAAGTTGAATTATTAAAATATTCTCATCTAGCTGTTTTGTGGTCAGTATTGACAGCTGAAATCACTTTTATTAGCAGTAGGTGAACTGCACTCATGATTCATTATTCAGCTGGGAATCAGAGGACATATCTGATTCCCATATTAAAATTCAAGTGCTACAATAACCTATCTTATCCATGTCTAGTCCAATAAAAAGACAGGGAGTATTTCAAGAAAAGCTACCCTATCATTCACTAGGTTATCTGTATCAAACAGGATCACGGCTGAAAACAGTACTGCACTAACTTTTATGTTAAGTCTTTTGCATCAAACCCAAGATTATTTAAAAAATAGTAGTCTGTAAACTCAAATTATCACAGTGAATAGTGGACACAGATCCTCCCACTGAGTTCTTAAAGAGAAAATAGAGTTTCCTGACAATTAAAATAGATTTTATGCATTTTATGAAGCATAATGTGAATATTTAAACATTTTCTTTTGCTTATTCCATTTATAAGTGTATTGATCTTGGGACTATGGAAAAACAGTACTAAAACAGGTTGCTATAAAGCATTGGAAATAACATTCATGAGTCTGAAAAACACTGCTAAGGTAGTCCATTTGTTTCTTTATTACTGTGCATGTATTAGAGATGCTTAACTACAATGCTTTAGAAAGCACGACCAGATACTACAACTAATGGCATATGTAAAGAGTCTTATCATTTTAAAGTTACACATGCATATCCTTAAATACAGAGTTTGTTCTTCTATAGTTTCCTCAAACAGGGGTGAGGAAGAAGGAAAACTCAACACCTAACTACTTCTGCTTAATCAAAAGGTTAACTGCCTCAAATCAGCAATTCATAGTTTTTGTTATATAAAATACACACACTGAACATGCACCAGACCAGTATTTCTGCAAAAGAAAAGTTGGATAAATAACACTGCACAGTTCTGAAATGAACCAAATAATTTCACAGAGGAAGTTTCAGTTCAGTAAGAACCAGCAATGAAATTCCTAGCACCGTGATGGACTAATACCTAATCCTAAAGAAGGGATAGAGAGTTCAAAGGGAAAAACAGAATTAGACCCGCCATGACCCCAAACAAAAAGAGAGTGAAATTAGTACTGCAGGACGTAAGAACAATGCATGTCATCTCCATTTAAGAATTTGCAGAACACTATTTCAGTGAGGTCAACCTTCCAGAAGAAGGGCCAAATTTATATTTTTGTCTTCAATGAATCATCTTCTTGGTTCTCAGAGTAAACAGTGAAATTCCTCCACGTAATCCTACCACCTTCCTGTTTTGCCAACATCCTTCCTCTCCTCCCCTCAAAACAGAGCACCAGGTACTCTTTCATAAATATTTTAGTTTGATTATAGGTTACCATTTTTCAGCAGG